CCTTCTCCTCCTCCTCCTCCTCCTCCTCCTCCACCTCCTCCTCCTCCTCCTTGAGGGAGCTGGGCGAGGATCATCAGACGGGGGAGAGCGGCAGGCTCGAGAGGCCCCATGCTGCCAGGTCCTCCTGCCACCAGTAAGGCCCGAAATCTCTCTGGACCTCCTGGGCAAAACGCCGCTCCTGGCAAAGGCCGGGCGGGGAGGCCGCCGCGCCTGGAGGCCGCGGCGCGCGCCTCCCGTGGCCGCTGCGCGCACCGCCTCACGCCTGCCAGGGCACGGAGCGAGCGCCCGAGGGTGCCTCCGAGGCGTGCGGGACGTGCACGAAAGTATTCTTCACGAAGCTTGCCGGAATCCGACCGGCCGGCCCATGCGGCTTCTCGAAGAGGGCCCTCTTCTCGAGGCCGTTGCGCCTCGCCACGCGCCTCATGCCCGACCGTGTCATCTCGTGCGTCGCGTGGCAGAGCTTGCACAGGACACCGTCCTTGCAGCCCCTCTTCGAAATGGCGAATTTGCACGGGGTGCACTTCCCGACGGCGTGATTGGCCGAGCCAAGGCTCAAGAAGTTGCCTTCGTCGTCGCGCGGGCACTGGATGATAGTGGAGAGGCGTATGCGCTCTGGCATATCCGATCTCCCTATGAGCGTCCTCGTCGGTTCACCGGGAATCTGCTCGCTCAGGGTGGCGGTGGAGTCATGCAGGCTGGAAAGGACGGACGCCCGCGAGCCAGTTGTCCCGTGGCCGCTTCCGTCGGTGCTGTTGCATTCGCTGCCAAATGGGTCGCACAGGTGGCCCGACTCTGGCGGCAACGGCGACGCCGCCGCCGGCGCGCCTGAGACTTCAGCCAGGCGCGCCCTCGCAGAACGCAGACCGCAGAACGCCAAGGGCCCAGCGCGCGCTTCGCTTCCGACGCCCATGCCGACGCCCCCTGCAGGAGCGCCCACGACCACGAGTGGCAAGCCACGGGGCATGGCGTCAGGTGGCGGCCGAGCCGGCGCGCGAGTGGCCCTGGGTGCGGCTGGGCCAGCGAGCGCGCGGGAATGTGGCCAGAGGGCTCGCTGAGCGGCTGGGACCTGGGGTGTTGGCCCTGCCAGCTCTGGAGCCAGAACGGCTGTGGGCCACGCCGAGACCAGCTGTGGCGTCGAGGGAGACCCCCGCGGGCCACACAGGAAGCGAGCGGAGGATGGAGGCCTCCCGGATGGGGTCCGAGTAAATGGGGTCGGAGGATCTCGCCACATCGCGGATGCATCGGCGATGCATCGGCGACATCGGCGGAGCTTCGGCGACGCCAGCGCGGAAAAAATCGGGCACCACATCGGGCCGCATCAGCGATGCATCGGCGATGCGGCGCGATCCTCCGACCCAGTCTATACTCGGACCCCATCTATGGAGGCCTACAAAAAAGGAGCACAGAGGGGGGGCGGCACTCGCGGGAGTGCTCTGGGGTGGCTCTGCAGGCGGGGCGACGTCGCGCCTCCTTGCTGCGCGGCAGTCGTCGGAATCCTGCGGGGCCTCGGGGGTCCGCGGGACCCTGCGTGGAGTGCTCCAGTGGAGCAGGGGCTCTGGCAGTCCCGGCATTCCGAAGAACCCAAACATGTTTCAGGACCAAAACAATGCTCTCATAACATAAGCCCGATGCTTTAAAGCAGGGTAATCTCAACCAAACATGTTCTAAGAACGTGTCGTGCAAACCGCGCAATGGTTCTCAGAACATTCTTTGATGGGCCTGCTGGCAAGCCGGAACGCTTCGCCACAGCCTGATCAAGGGGATCCGCGCCCAGGCCAGAGACCACACGCTCCTCTACAGGAGGAGGAAGAGGAGGAGGAGGAGGAGGAGGAGGAGAAGGAGGAGGAGGAGAGGGAGGAGGAAGAGAAGGAGGAGGAGGGGGAGGAGGAGGAGCAGGAGCAGGAGCAGGAGCAGGAGGAGGAGGAGGACGAGGAGGAGGAGGAGGGAGGAGGAGGGAGGAGGAGAAGGAGGGGCAGGAGGGGAAGGAGGAGGAGGAGGAGGACCAGTGCCAACCCAAGAGTCATCAACGATGAATTAACCCTCCCTCCAAGCTCCCTCTTCCTAGGCCCCATACAACGGTTCCTTTCCATTGAGGGAACTGCCTCGTTGGACGACAATCGTTTGAATACTTTGATGCATGCAAAAACATTGTTCTCGGGATTTCCACGCCACGGATCAACTTGACTGCTGCGTCCTGACGATCTGGTATCGCACAAGAACGCCATTTTGGGAACATCAACGCCGCGAATAAATAGAACTGCTGCACTCGCATAATCCTGAATCTTTCGAAAACACCATTCCTAGTACGTTGATCATGGGAGTCCGTGAAATTCTTGCAAAAATCTGAACAGAATGTGCGCGGCGCTAAAGCGAGAACCACATGTTGAAAAGAAACCGCCCTCGATCCGTGAAATTCTTGCAAATGGTAGATTCGAAAACGAATGTGCGCGGCGCTAAGGCGAGAACCACATTTTGAAAACACCCCGCCCTCAATCCGCAAAACTCTTGCAAATGTTGAAGACGAATGCGCGCGGCGCTAAGGCGATAACCACATTTTGAAAACGCCCCGACCTCAATCCGTGAAACTCTTGCAACTTGTTTTAATACATGTGCGCGGCGCTATGGCGAGAGCCACATGTTGAAAACGATCCGCCCTCAACCCGCGAAATTCTGGCAATTCTTGTTACCGAATGTGCGCGGCGCTAAGGCGAGAACCACATTTTGAAAACGCCCCGCCCTCAATCCGCGAAACGCTTGCAAATATTGAAGACGAATGTGCGCGGCGCTAAGGCGAGAACCACATTTTGAAAACCACCCGCCATCAATCCGTGAAACTCTTGCAAGTTGTTTTAATACATGTGCGCGGCGCTATGGCGAGAGCCACATGTTGAAAACGACCCGCCCTCAATCCGTGAAATTCTTGCAATGTTTGGTACCGAATGTGCGCGTCGCCAAGGCGAGAGCCACATTTTGAGAACGACCCGCCTTCAACCCGTGAAACTCCTGCAAACTGTTAGAACGAATGTGCGCGGCGAGAGCCACATTGTGAAAACCACGCGCCCTCCAAAACGCGCGGCCCGCCCTAAAAACTAGCCTCGGGGTGCGACAGGGAATCTATGCATTTGCTGATTCATAAGGAAAAGGAATGGAGGAGGAGGCGGAGGCGGAGGCGGAGGCGGAGGCGGAGGAGGAGGAGGAGGAGGAGGAGGAGGAGGAGGGGAGCCCGCCTCCCAAAGAGCAATCCCTGCGCCGCCCCCCCTCCTCGAGAGGTCCTCTCTGCTCCCCATCCAGAGCTGGAGGCCTGGAAGATGAGCACCAGCACCAAAACAAGGGGCTGCCTCCACAAGGGTAAGATCGTCCTAGATTTTGGTGTTGGTGGCAATCTCTCGGTCTCCCAGGAAGCACGATCGTCACGTACCACCATCACCGAGATCGGGATCATCTTCCCTCGGTGGATGCACACCGCCGATATTGGTGATGGTGTCAAGCTCTACCCCTCCGACAGAGGAGCCTGCTGGCCGCTGTGGGGCTCAACACATCTCTCCGTCGAGCTGGGATCGATAAATTCCGAGGGCCCCCGAGGAGCTCGATGGGATGCGTACGCTACGCAGGGCAACCACTGGCTGGCAGGCACCGACGCTGGCAAGCACGAGAGTCGAACACGCGCGCCCAACACCAGTCTGGGCCACCCGTCGTCGTCGTCGTCGTCGTCGCCGCCGCCGCCGCCGCCGCCGTCGCCGCCGCCGCCGCCGCCGCCGTCGTCGTCGTCGTCGTCGTCGTCGTCGTCGTCGTCGTCGTCGTCGTCACCGTCGTCGTCGTCGTCGTCACTGTCGTCGCTGTCGTGGTCGTCGTCGGCCCCGTCGTGCCCCCGCGCCGCCCCCCAGGCAGGGCCAGCTCGGGGCCCAAGGCCGCCAAGGCCGAAGCGCGGCTGCCTTCGCCCTCCTGGGGCTCGGCCTGGATTGCAGGCGGGCCCGGAGCGACAGAGGCGGTCATGCCGGGCACACCACGTCACACCATGGCGCTGCGGAGTGCCCTCCGAGGGCGCCACAGTCGGGCTACTGCCATGGGCGATGCTACAAACGATTCAGGAGCGACGCCCCTCCAAATCTGAAGGGGCCCTGGGACACACAAATAATTACACACGAATCACAGGAGTCCTGTGATTTCTGAAGATTTCCGCAGGGTCTGCTCTGGGAATATAGGATGTTGCAAATGACTAGCATGCGTGTATGCAGCGCCGGCGCTTGGGCTCGAGCTGATAAATGCGGGCTCCCCTCCCCCACGGCAAAAGCATCGGGGCAGCGGAGCCGTAGAGGTTTCGGCAGAGACGACGGAGTTCGGTGCTGAGACGAGCCTCGACGACGGAACGATCTTCGAGGGTGAGGCTCAGCCACAACGAGGTTGGTAGCGGAGCCTGTGGTTGGCCCCACAGCTCCAAGGACGGACATAGAGAGAATCGAGACTAGCCATCTCGGAGACTACGAACATGGCGGAGTGCAACAGTGGGGTGGACCCGAAGATACCGGTGCTGAAGGGAGAAACGCTGAAGGATTTCACCAGATACAAGAGAGCATTTCAAGCAGCGGAGTTGAGCTGCGAGAGCAAGGAGTCAAAGCAGGCGCTCGGTCCGAAGCTGTATAGGAACCTGCTGGGCGCGGACAACTCCATCAGCGTGCTGATTGAACAGACGAACTCGAAAGACTACGCGACGGAGGACGGCGCCCAGACACTGCTGAGATTCCTCGAAGAGCAGCGCTTCGCCAAGAGCAGTTTCAGGGAGTTGCCGAAGGCGTTCGACGCGTTCTTCGACCAGACACACTTCGATAAGAAGGGCGAAGAGCCGATGGCAGCGTTTTGTACGGCGATGGAGGTGGCGAAGCGCAATCTCGAGGAAGTGGACCCAGACACGAAGATCAGTGCGAACGAGCTAGGGTACACGCTGAAGAGAAACGGACTGGACAAGGACGAGCGCAATCTAGTGATAGCACGGGCAGATGAGACCTTCAATTTCCAGAAGATTAGCACGACGCTGAAGAACCTCTTCCCACGAGGTGGAGGTCGGCACCGGGATCGACAGGGATCGAGAACGAGCTGGCGATGGGCGAACTACAACGACGGCGAGCGTGACCAGGAGGACGAAGACCAGAACGTCGAGCACGACGGGTACTGGGTCCAGGACGACGACGGCTACTGGTACGAGTGGGACGAAAAGTACGGTGTCTACGCGTTCGCGGAGGATGGCGACGACAGCTGGGACGGCAGCGACCTGTTCTACATCGAGGACGACACCGACGTCTACCTCGCGAGCGAGGATGACGAGTACCAGCAGACCCTCGTCACACTGCGCGAGAGCAGGCTTAAGATGAACAAGATCTGGGCGGCTCGAGGCTTCTGCGGCTTCTTCAAAGGACGAATCAATGGAGTAGTGGACGAGAGCGCGGCGGCCGGCGGCAAGGCAGCGGGGAAAGGTGGCAGAGGCGGCAAGGGGCAAGGACGGTGGCAATGGCAAGTCCAAGGACAAGAGGCGCACCAACTGCGAAAGAATGGACCACGCTGCACCGGACTGCCCGACGCCGCGACCTCCGAGGCCGGCGGGTAAAGGCTTCAAGGGCCGCGGCAAGACCTCGAAGGCTCAATCTCGTCCACGACGGCTGGGTTTCTGGGCGATGACCACGCTGGTGTGCGTCATGCCGGACATGTTCCACCAGAAGGACGTCCAGGACCCGGAGCTCGCGACGGAGAAGTTCCAGGAGCCAGCCGAGCGCGACATCATGATGGTCAACGTGGAGAGCGACCCGATCCTACCGGAAGAGCCAGAGGTGGACGCGATGATCTCGAGCACGATCATGCCAGCAACCCTGGTGGACAGCGGCGCCTCCGCGGCAGTGGCCGGGCGCGGCTGGCTGGATAAGATCGCAGCAGAGCTCGAGAAGTACAGTCTGAGGCCCATAATTGTCGAGGCGAGCCAGAAGTTCAAGGGACTCGGCGGCGCACGACGTGAGGCGCAGCAAAAGTGGATCATCCCGATCGGTATTGGCAAGAAACGCGTCCTGCAGGAGTACTTCGAGATCCCCGGTGACATGATTGGCCTGACAAGCAAGAAGAACCTGGCGGACTGGAAGACGAACCTTTACCTGCGCGAGGACGGCCAGTGGGCCGACTTCCAGGAGCTCGGGGTGCACGACAAGGAGCTCGTGAAGCTTCCCGGCGGCCACGCGGGCATCGACATCTTCGACTACGACCTGGAGTCGTGCGAGGCGGAGCCCCTCTTCGAGAGGTTCCGCATCAACGTCGAGAACGTCGAGCCGGAGGTTTTCCTGGTCGCGGAGACGCTGCTGGTGTCCAAGCCAGACTTCAGGGTCAAGGACGACGCCGATCGGTGGGTCCAGGAGGCAACGAAGAACGGTAACAAGGGGATCTTCAAGAAGGGTATGCTCAAGCGGATCGACAAGCTCATGAAGGAGTATGCGGTTATATTCGACGTGCTGCGCGACAACAACGAGACGTTTCCCTGGGTGTTGTTCGCGAAGGAGGCTCGCTTTACTCATGTAGCCTCGAAGGGTGGTCACGCGAATGCGACCCCCTCGGACCTGTCAGTTGGCGTGAACTTTAACGACCCTCGGACGCGATCTGATTTCCTGTTTTTGATCAGGACCTTCAAGCCCTGGATGGTTTCGGTCGCATTCCCGTGTACCGCCCATACGAATATGCAAGAGTTACAGCGTGCTCAGGGCATGGGCGACAGGGTGGACGACCTCATCCAGGAGTCTCGGCTGCTGATTTACTTTTCGGCGGAGGTGCTCAAGATTCAGGCTGAAGGAGGACGGATCGGCATCGGCGAGAATCCCCTCACCAGCCGGGCGTGGCGGGAAATTCCGATCGTGGACCTGCTGAGCTGGCACGGGAACAAGCCGCCACTCTACGAGACGGTCACGCTGCACCAGTGCATGTACGGGCTCGTGGACAACTACGGCGACCCGATTCGCAAGCCGTCGTGCAAGATGGTGCCCAACGGTTCGTGCTTCCATGGGTGGCTCGAGCGCAGGTGCGACGGGAGCCACAAGCACGCCGACATGGTCGGGCGGAGCCCGGCACTGGCACAAGCGGGCGCCTGGCTGGACGACCTGGGCAAGGCTCTGGCGGGCGCTGGCACGCACGAACTGGCACGACGGACAAGCCCGAAGGAGATGGGCATCGGGAGCGGCACGGCGAGGTCCCCGAGCAAGCAGATCGTGAACGCAGTGGCCAAGGCGTTCAAGCTGAGGAAAGACCTGATCGACGTGCGCGTGCTGACCGGTGACGAGGAGGTTCCGCACCCTCGCGGGGCAGTGCGGCGCATCTGCGCGGTGTACTCCAGCGAGGGCGTACTGGCGGACTACAGCGACGCCTACGCGGGCGACCCGGGCTTCGTGACGATAACGCTGGTCAAGCGGTTCCCCACTGACACGGTGATCGCAGTCTACGTGAAGGAGCCGAAGGTGCAGACGTCCTTCCCTGCGACGGTGCACGTCTACGGGAGCAAGCCCAAGACCTTTGCTCCAGATGATCGCGAGACCGACACGGCACATCGAGACCTGCAACACGAGGGTGAGAGTTTCGGGGATAAGCCTTCGGACATCACCACGGCCCAGTGGGGCGCTCTCAAGAAGCTCCACCTCAACCTGAGCCATCCTTCTGCTCACGCACTGAAACGGCGACTGAAGTCCTACGGAGCGTCACAGCAAGTGCTGGATGCGGTTGACAAGCTGGACTGCGGCGTGTGCAAGGAGCTCGGCAGGCCGACTACGGTGAGAAGCTCGAACCTGAAGCTCTCGACGGAATTCAACGAAAACGTGTTCCTAGTCGAGGCCGAGGTGATACTTGCAGACGGGACCCGACTGATGGTTATGATGGTGATCTTGGACGACGCGTCGGGCTTCTGGGTAATCATCCCTACCACTGCAGTGAGGTCCATCACTGGCGAGGAGAGCCTGCGATGTTTTTCGCAAGGCTGGCTATCGTGGGCTGGGCCACCCAAGGTGCTGTACGACGCGGCCAAGGGTCACATCACGAAGCGGCTTGCGGAGATCGGAGAGAAGTACACCATCCTGATGAGGCCGGTCCCAGCAGAGGCGCCCCAGCTCAAGGGTCGAGTGGAGCGCGCGATCGACTTCTTCAAGGACCACTTCCAGCGCCTGAACCGCGACGTGCAGCTCACCAAGGACGACGATCGGCATGTGTGGACATCGGTGATAGCGAGTACGTGCAACAACCACATTCGGCGGAATGGCTTCACCCCTTACCAATACGTGCTGGGCCGGTCGCCTGGCATCCCGGCTTCGCTGATCGAGGCGATGGAGGGCGATCAGAGGCAGCTGGCATCACAGAGCGCGGCTCTCTTCGAGGAGGGCCCGAGGAGAGCAGAGCAGATAAGTGCGGCGGCGAACCGGGCGTTCTTCGAGCTGGACAGCGACGACGCCGTCAGGAGGGCCATGGTTGGCCGAGTTCGCCCGCCGCGTGGACCGTTCGTGCCAGGCCAGCCGGTGTTCTACTGGCGCGAGGTGAAGCACGTGAAGTCGAAGAGGCTCCAGGGCGAGCACGGCTGGCGTGGGCCAGCGATCGTGCTGGCGACCGAAGGCCACACGAGGCTACACCTCAGCTACCGCGGGGTGCCGGTGCTCGGGACGCCGGAGCAGGTGCGGCACGCCTCCCGGAGCGAGGCGGAGATGGTGGAGAACGAGGACTTGGTCAGGCAGCTCTCTCACTGGCGTGGAGGACCTGCTCTCCAGAAGGGGTTCATTGATGAGCGCGGACCTGGGCCAGACGGGAGCGACAAGACGGGCGCGCGCCACGAGAGGGACGAGAAGGACTCGGACCACGAGGACGGTGTGATCGACACGCCTACGGCTAAGGCACCGCGTGCCGAGCCGGCTCCACCACCGCCACGGCCAGTGGTCGAGGGGACGCCGAAGAAGGAGCGCGAGGAGGAGGACGTACCTGCACCTGGAGACCTACCTGAAGTACCACCACTACCGGGAGGAGGACTGGTTCCTCCAGAACAAGCTACAGACCCACCTGCTGCGGCAGCTGGGCAGGGGCACTCCATGGACCTGGACGCGGCGGCGGCGCCAGGTATTCCGCATCAAAAGCAACAGCAACCAGATCGAGCCGAGCAACCAGAACCTGCACCACGACTTAGCTTCAAGCGAACGCTTCCCGACGACGAGGAGGCAGATCGCGAACGCCTACGACTACGACGCGAGGCTCTCAAGGGCAGCTCCATGCGCCTTCCGAAGGTACCGGACGACCCGATGGATCAGGAAGCGCTCTTCGTCAAGGTCAGGAACAGACAGAGGGGCGCGTTTCTGTCCCGGAGGACCGACACGACGAAGAAGCAGGTCACTCCCAAGAAGGGTCGGGAGATCCGCAGCATCCCACAGGAGTGGAAGGCGGCTTTTGAGACGAGCGACCTGGAGGAGTGGCGCAAGTGGGTCGAGTACGACGCAGTGGACTGGCCGACCGAGGAGGAGCTCGCGGGGGTGGACAAGACAGCGATCCTGCCCATGAGGCGCGTTCGCACGGACAAGAACGAGGCGACGAGGGGCAACCTGTCGTACGAGCAGCACCCGCTGAAGGCGAAGTCCCGGAACATTGTTCCAGGATACAAGGACAAGCAGCTGCTCGCTGGCGAATTGCAGACCAACGCCCCCACTCTGACAGACACGGCCACGGCGGTGATCCTGCAGGAGGCCGCTAGCCAGTCGGGTTGGAGGCTTGAACAGGGCGACGTCGACTTGGCATTTCTGAACGGGAAGAACCTCGACAGCTCTCGACGCGTGTATTTCCGCGCGCCGAAGGGCGGCCTGCCGGCTTTACCGGAGATGGGCTGGCCAGCCGTTCCAGAAGGGACGGTGCTGAGAGCGAAGAAGGGGATCTACGGGCTGAATGATGCACCTCTGTTGTGGTACGAGGAGCATCGCGCACCATGCCGTCTCTCCCAGGAGCGTCGAGTCAAGATCGAAGTTGTGCCCGGCTCTTTTCTTCCACGACGAGAATGAGAAGCTGATCGGCCTGATCGGGACGCACGTGGACGACGATTTGGTAGCGGGCTCGCCCGAGTTCTTCGCTAACCAGGTGATCAAGCTGAGGAAAATGCACTGCTACGGCAAGTGGCAGACGGCGAAGACCGGTTTCCACCACTGCGGGAGATTCCTCAAGCAGAGCGACGATGGCACCATCACCTGCAACCAGAGGGAGCATACCGAGAGCATCGAGAAGATTCCGATCTCAAACGAGCGTCGCATGGACAAGGAAGCGAAGGCTACACCCAAGGAGAGGGCGATGCTCCACAGCGGCAACGGCCAGATTCAGTTTCTGGTGCGATCCACCCGTATGGACTTGGCATTTCGACTGGTGGAGAGTCAAGCGAGGGCTCACGACAGCGACCTGAAGGTTCAGGACTTGCTGGACTTCAACAAGCTGGTGAGCGACGCCAAGACGGACCATGTGGACATCACTTTCCAGAAGATTAACATAGACGACGCGATCGCGGTGGCGGTTGGAGACTCGAGCCACGGCAACGTGGGCAAGACGAAGACCGCGAGTCAGGCGGGCCGGGTTATCCTGCTCGCAGACAACAAGGACGATCAGTTCCTTCGCGGGAGGCCGGCCAAGGTCACTCCCATGTTGTGGCGATCGCACCGCATCAAGCGGATGGTGCGCAGTACCCTGGCGGCCGAGACGATGGCGGCGCTGGAGGCGGTCTAGAGTGGCGACATGCTGAGGCAGCACCTGGTGGAGCTGCACTACGGACTAGGTTACCGGACCCACATGGACGACGTGAAGCCGATCAAGATGGTGGAAGTCACGGACTGTAAGTCGCTCTACGACCTGCTCCAGAAGCGAGGGACGGTGCCCTCCGAGAAACGGCTGCTGATCGATATCGAGTCGCTCAGGAACGATCTGGAGTTCAACAACGTGGTGAGCAAGTGGGTGAGCACGAAGCAGATGCTCGCCGACTGCCTAACCAAGCACGACGTCCGCGCTGGCGACTACATGAGGTACGTGCTCCAGACTGGTGAGTACCGGCTGACGGAGGACCTCATGGCGGACCAGATCATAGCCAAGCAGAGGATGGAGCTTAAAGGACGCAGGGGTGAATACTACCGCTCGAAGTATCCCAAGAGGCAGCGACCTGATGACCAGCTCTTTGTTCACGAGGGCTACACCTACTTCGAGGACTGCATTGCGGATGTGAGGTACAATGCGCGTGTGGCTCAGCCTACTCCGAAGCCCTACCTTCGTTGGCGGATGATGCTCGGGCAGCGCGAGGACGATATCTACTACGAGAAGCTCGAGGACATGGTCGACTGGTCTGGCTTGGACCAGGTGACGAAGCGTCGGAGGATCCCGAGCCAGGTGCGAAAGCTGTTGACGATCTACGCGCCGACCGAGGCGGCCCTCGAGCGCTACGAGAAGGATTTCACAGAGAAGCACATCACCATCAAGAAGCCGAAGGTGACGAACGATGAGGACCCCCAGAAGGAGCTAGGTGTCACCGAGGAGCTTGGTGCGCACGTGGAGTCGGACGAGAACGTGAAGTGGGATGGCACCGACGTCGCGGAGATCTACATGATGGACGCTGCGGGTGCCGAGTCTGAGGGAATCAAGTCAGGCGCCGCTGCAGCTGCGACGGTGACGGTGTGCGCGTTGTGCCGGATGACGCTGGACCAGTGCGAGTGCGGACCGAGGACACGCAAGAAGCCACATCGGGCATCTACCTCTGCGCGTTCCGACGACCTACCTGCCGTACCTGATGACGAAGGTGATGATGACAAGGAAGCAGGGACATGGCAGAAGGTACCGCACCGACGCAAGGAACCTACTACACCGACGAAGAAGAAGAAGATGCTGAAGGCTCGCGCGCTGCACAAGAGAACCGGACATTCATCGTATGAGAAGATCGCGGACGAGTTCGGCGACGTGATAGAGAACGGTGTTCTCGAGGCGCATGAGCTGGTGGTCAAGAACTGCGACGAGTGCCGACGAGGAAAGAAGACCTACGCCTCCATGCAGCGTGGAGCTCAAGGCAGTGAGTTCGAGACGCACGAGTCCACGAGCAAGGCCAAGGGCAAGCGCAAGGGGAAGCAATCGGCCCGAGACAGCATAGGCGACTGCGAGCAAAGAGTGTCGACGACACAAGGAAGCAACCAGTACAAGGACAAGCTCCAGTGCCTGCAGTGTGGCATGCTGCTAGTGGACACGGACACGACGTGGTGGAAGCGAGAGAAGGAGTATCGCGAGATCGAGAAGACCTTGCGTACCAGCAAGGAGAAGGAGATCAAGGCCGAGATGAAGGCCATCCGCCTCCGTAACATGTACGAGAGGATGACGAAGGAGGAGGCCAGTGAGTCGAGCAAAGGAGCATGCTCGGCGGATACGTGATGTACTACTACGCCGTGCGCGACTACGACGCCATTTGGGCGATCAGCATGGGTGTTGCGCTGTTTGCAGCGACGCCTGTCTTTTGCTGTTGAACTGGGTGCTACGCCCAGCGCCCGCCTGCTGCGTGTCACGCTTAGTTAGAGAAAATAATATGAGTGTGATTTCTGAAGATTTCCGGAGGGTTTGCTCTGGGAATATAGGATGTTGCAAGTGACTAACATGCGTGTATGCAGCGCTGGCGCTTGGGCTCGAGCTGATAGATGCGGGCTCCCCTCCTCCACGGCAGAAGCATCGGGGCAGCGGAGCCATAGAGGTTTCGGCAGAGACGACGGAGTTCGGTGCTGAGACGAGCCTCGAGGACGGAACGATCTTCGAGGGTGAGGCTCAGCCAGAACGAGGAGTCCCCATATTTTCCCATAATTTCTGGGTTGTTGTCTTCCTCCCCGACTTCCCATCTGTTCCCCTATTTTCACTGGGGGTCGACGACTCATTGTGTCTGTGCGAGCTTGTCCCTCCCGCAGATCGCCTGGGCTAGAGGCCTCCTAGATGGGGTCGGAGTAGATGGGGTCGGAGGACCGCGCCGCATCGCCGATACATCGACGATACATCGGCGATGCATCGGCGATGCTCCGGCAATGCACTGGCGATCAGGCGTCGACGTCGGCGATGTATCGGCGACGTCGGCGTCGGGCTCCGCATCGAGCCGCATCGTCGATGCATCGGCGATGCGGCGCGATCCTCCGACCCCATCTACTCCGACCCCATCCAAGAGGCCTAGATGGGCGCACGAGGAGCGCCGGAAGAGCAGCCGGGGAGAGGCCGGAGGAGCAGCGTGCCCCTCTACAGCGGAGGCCGGTCCACGGGAAGCCGTCCAGGAGAGACCCGGCCCCGAGGCCCCCGGGCGTCCAGGTTTTTGCTGCCACCAGGCTGAGCTCCGCAAGCTGCCTCGCCAAGCTGCGCAGAGGCCCAGGATCAACCCATTGCCGAAAAACAGTTCGATGCGTGATCGGTGATCGGTATATACGGAGGCAGGCGAGAGAGCGGATGGTCTCCCGACCCTGCGTTTTGCTAGCGATCAAACTGCTTAGGATCAGCAGCCCTGGTGTGGGATCGTCACGCTTTCCATGGATAGGCCATCATAATCAAAGAAACCCGGGGCATCCGGGTGACTCTCGGCATGGGCCTCCCTTGCAGAAGAAGAAAAACCGGCAGAAGCATCAATTTTCGGCGCTCCGCGCGGTTTTCTAGGATCTGCGCTGGGCCCCCCTCCCTGGCGCGCGGAGCGCACCAGGGGCGGCGCCGGGGGTTACCGCCCGGGGGGATCCCGCGCGGATCCAAGATCCGCGCGGAGCGCCAAAAGTTTATGTACATGCCGTTTCTTTCCTCCCCGGGGATCTTCTGACCCGGGTCAATCCAGACCCCAGCCAGTCGGGCTTGGCAAGATCCTGCAAGATCCTGCAGGGTCCTGCAGGATCCTGCACCCAAGCCCGGGCCAGTGCACCCCCCTGGCTCGGCAGGACCCTGCAAGATTCTGGCGCTCTGACGGACCCCCGTCTGCACTGACCCCCCGTCTCTTGCGCCCCGAAGTCTTCGATGGACAGGTGCAGCCGGCAAGGCCCGCGCTCCGGCCTCCGTGCGGAAGAGCACGTAGCCGAGGCAGAAGAAGCAGAACAGGTAGAACTCCTCGGCGCGCGCCGCGGGAGCGCGGCACGCTCGCGGGCCCGCCCCGGTGCGCGCGCCAGCGAGGAGCCCCAGCGCAGAGAGTCGGCCACGGCGTGTCCGCTCCTCCTCCTCCTCCTCCTCCTCCTCCTCCTCCTCCTCCTCCTCCTCCTCCTCCTCCTCCTCCTGTGCAGGGCGGAAGGATGGCGAGGACCGACGATCGCGCCTCCCCTCGGCAGTGGCTCTGATGGACAAGCGCGTTCCACTACTCGCAGAAGTCACCCCTCGCACACGGCCTGGGTTCGCCGCGGGGGGGTCACGATCCACTGCGTCGGGGCAAACATGTGCTTTCGGGCGTTTGCGAGCACGTAGGTACTATACGAGGAGTGGAACGCGCTCGGTGATCTGATCAGGGGAAGGGGGGCGGTCACCACCGATGCCAGGAGAGGCGCGAGGCAACCTGTTTCGCGCGCCTCGCCGCCCTTGAGACGCACACGAGTCCCACCCAATTGTCTGCTCTGACAGCAGCATGCTCACAACCAGCCTTCGGCTGGATGCACGCACGTCAGAAAACGTGCCGCCCTATTGGCACATTATCCTACAACAGAGCTCTTGTAGCGCTGCATGCGGCATGCATGCAGTCCGTTTGGACTGCTGCAAAAGTAGCGGCATAACGTGGTACAGGCGCGTGGGTCATCTAGACTAGCTTGCTGCGTCAGGCGAGGCCGAGCCGAGGGGAACGACAGCAAAAGCCAGCACGCCTCTCGCAGGAACAAGATCGGGGAGACGTGAGACTCGGGTACTGGGGACTCCGGTTGGTCTGACGGGGCCATCATGAAAATGACGAAACCCAACCTGGAACTTGACGCGAGCTCCCGCTGCAAACATCCCACGGAAACCGGACCGTCAAAATCCATGATGCGCTCGTCAAAAAACTCCGGCAACCCCGAGCTCCGGCTTACTCGAGTCTCACGTGTCCCCGAGAGGGACGGGAAAGGCCGGTATACGGCCTAGCCGCGCCGCTCCGCTTCGAGGAGCCGGCGCCGGACACGAGAGAAGCGGGCACAGGCACGCCGCGGCGCGCCCCTCCCCGCCCGCCGCTGTGGCACCTCGTCGTCGTCGCTGTCGACCCTCAGCAGGGCGTAGCGCCTGCCCACGGCCGCGCGAGCGCCGAGGCCGGCGGGGTGGCGCGAGGCGGTGCGCAGGAGCACCGCGGCCCAGCAGGCGAGGCCCAGGCCCAGCACGCCGGCGGCCACGGCGCCGGGGTGGCCCCCGGGGCCGGCGAGCCAGGACCGCGCGGCCAGCGGCGCGTAGAGGCCCACGGAGCCGGGCGCCTCCTCGTCGTCGCAGGCCGGAGGCCCTGACAGCGCCCCGAGCACCGGCCTGCTGGGCCTCGCGTGCCTGCCCGCCAGGGAGCACAGCCTCGAAGGGAACACGATCGTGAAGTGGGCGCACTGGTCGAGGTCGGCGCAGGCTCTCTGGCAGGCCAGCACGGCGGAGTCCTGGTCGGTGGCGGCCAAAGAGGGGGGCGTCCAAGAGGGGGGGGCGCAGAGCGTGGCCAGCGGCATGTGCGCGGCCCGGGGGGAGGGGCCAGGAGCGCAACGGAACCGAGAGGAGGCGCCACGAAGCCCGAGGAGACATCACGGCCCCCGCCATGATGCCCACCTCCCGTATATAGCCACCACCACCTCTCTTCTTGCCGCCCCCCACCTGGGTCGGGCACTCGCCCCGGCCCAGCACCCGGGACCGCCCAGGCAGCTCCGGGACCCACTGCACGGCCCTGCTCATGCACCGGAGCTCCCTCGGCAGGTAGGTGCCGCTGCCGTGGAGGGTCTGGTTCGCGCAGCGGGTCGCGTCGCAGCACTTCGGCGGGCCGGCCACGAAGCCGGGCCTGTTTGCCACGCGGATGGCTTCGGAGCCCTCGAGGTAGCAGTGCCGCCCCGGCGTCCAGAAGGAGAAGTGCCTGCACCCATCGGTCTTTGAACACCTCTCCTGGCATGCCTCGATATTTTTCTCAATGCTGAGCTTGCCCATGTCGTGAGGCTCATAAGCAAAGCCGGCATAAAAACACTGTTGGGTTGTAGTGGTCGCGGTCGTTGAAATGGTGGATGTGCTCGGTTCGGTTCGGGGGGAGGTTGTGCTCATGGGCGTAGTGGTTGTCGCTGTGTCAGATTTGATGGGCGTAGACTTTGAGGCTGAAGAGTCCGAGGCTGTGGATTTCGAGGCTGTAGACTTCGAGGTTGTAGATGTCGAGGTTGTAGGAATCCGCCGACCCTGTCGGCGTGTGTGAGGGGCTTGCCCGTTCGAGTCGGGTATAGATCACCGGGGGCCTTGGCTACCCTAGGCCCTACCCAAAGCCCTAGGCTTCCCAAGGGTAGGCCCTACCCAAGGCCCTAGGCTTCCCAAGGGTAGGCCCTACCCAAGGCCCTAGGCTTCCCAAGGGTAGGCCCTACCCAAGGCCCTAGGCTTCCCAAGGGTAGGCCCTACCCAAGGCCCTAGGCTTCCCAAGGGTAGGCCCTACCCAAGGCCCTAGGCTTCCCAAGGGGTAGCCCTAGGGTAGCCCTAGGGGTGGGCCCCAGGGGTAGCCGGACCCCTTTGTAGCGGGAATCCGAGCCGGCAGCATCCCTCCTCCCTCCTCCCTGCTCCCGCCGCCTCCTCCTCCTCCCTCCGCCGCCACCTCCTCCTCCTCCTCCCTCCTCCTCCTCCTCCACCTCCTCCTCCTCCCTCGCTACTCCCTCGATCCCCTGCTTCCCCCCCCCCCGCTCCCCCTTCCGAGGGCAGGGCGCCCGCGCCGCCCCCCGGCGACCGCGGCCCCGGCGCCGCAGACCCCCCCTCGCAGACCCCCCCTCTGGGACCCCCCCTCGCTGACCCCCCCTCGCAGACCCCCCCTCACAGACCCCCCCTCTGGGACCCCCCCTCGCTGACCCCCCCTCGCTGACCCCCCCTCGCAGACCCCCCTCGCAGAGACCCCCCCTCGCTGACCCCCCCTCTGGGACCCCCCTGACCCCCCCTCGCTGACCCCCCCTCGGACGCCCCCCTCCTCTCCCCCCCTCGCTGACCCCCCCTCGCTGACCCCCCCTCACAGACCCCCCCTCACCGGTCTATCCTAGGGTTGATGCCTTTAGTCGGGCGGGCGGGCGGGACATTAAAGGCATTGATTGCTTGCTTGTGTGGTGGATTACCAATTGCTTCCCGTTGGTACCGGATTACGAGTAGATTCCATTTGTGGCGGATTACAAGCTGATTCCTTTTGTCGGGCGGGCGGGCGGGACATTAAAGGCATTGATTGCTTGTGTGGCGGATGGCAAACTGATTCTTATTGTGGCAGATTGCACATTGATTCCTTTTGTCTGGCGGGCGGGCGGGCGGGACATTGAAAGCAATAATTGCTTGTGTGGTGAATTACACATGGATTCCCTTTGGCAGCGGATTGCAAACTTATTCCTTTGGTCGGGCGGGCGGGCGGGACATTAAATGCATTGATTGCTTTCGTGGCGGATTACAAAGTGATTCCATTTGGCAGCGGATTGCAAGTTGATTACTATTATGGCGGATTACAAGCTGATTCCTTTTGTCGGGCGGGCGGGCGGGACATTAAAGGCATTGCTTGCTTGTGTGGCGGATTACACATACTGAAGGCCCTAGGCTTCCCAAGGATAGGCCCTACTGGACACCCTAGGGTAGCCCTAGGGTACCCCTAGGGGTAGGCCCCAGAGGTAGCCCTAGGGTAGCCCTAGGGGTAGGCCCTAGGGTAGCCCTAGGGTAGCCCTAGGGGTAGGCCCTAGGGGTAGCCCTAGGGTAGCCCTAGGGGTAGGCCCTAGGGGTAGCCCCAGGGTAGCCCTAGGGGTAGGCCCTAGGGTAGCCCTAGGGTAGCCCTAGGGGTAGGCCCTAGGGGTAGCCCTAGGGTAGCCCTAGGGGTAGGCCTAGGGGTAGCCCTAGGGTAGCCCTTCCTTGGGTGATCTATAAGTCGAGTCGTCGTCTCCGTCATTCGCTAGTCGTCGTCTCTGTCGTCCCCTTTCCCTGGGCCCGTCGCCGCTTCCCCTCTCTTTCCCTGGGTCCTCCTCCTCAAGCGCGCCAGCCAGAGCGAAATCGAGCAACGTCGCAATTGGGTCGAAGGGAAGCCCCTTCCCTTTGATCTCTCCCCCGCCGGGGGGGGGTCCCAGGTCTGGGCCCAGGTCCAGTCCTGGGGGGGGATCCCACCAAGGAGGGTCCTGGGTCACTTACGACTCCCCCTGGGGGTCCCAGGGCCTCCGTTCTCGCCTGTTCCGCTTCCCGACGCTCCAAAACTGCCCGAGAAACCCCCCAGATCTCCCCAAGACGGCCTACGGCCTCCAGGAGGGACCCAAAACTGCCCGAGAGGGCCCCCAAACGGCCCAAGACACTTCTGAGACGGCTCCGAGAGGGTGTCCAGACGAGGGGCCAGAATGGACATTTCGAGCACTCAGCCCCGAGAGGCTCCCCGAGGAACCAAAAGGCCCCCGAGAGGCCCTCAAGAGGCCCCAAGAGGCGCCCAAGCGGCCGCCAGGAAGCCCCAAGACGCCCCCAGGAGGCTTCCAAGAGGCCCCCAAGAGACCCCTGAACTGTCCCCCTAGAGGGTCCTCCTTCTCTTCTCTTCTTCCTCCTCCTCCTCCTCCTCCTCCTCCTCCTCCTCCTCCTTGTCCTCGTCCTCGTCGTCGTCGTCTTCAGGGTCGGCGGCACTCGCCGCAAGGCCCTCAATCGGCCCAGTAGCATTCAAAGTTGTAGAGTTAGAGGCTGCAGCATTCAAAGTTGTATCATTCGAGTCTATGAAATTCGAGACAATGGAAAATGTCGTCGATGTTGTCGTCGGAATCGTCGTAGATGAAAATGTTGTGTTCGTTACAACGGATTCCAGACTCGTAATAGTCGGCGCTGATCCGTTCGCCACGGGGCAGCCATATCCCGTCTTCTCGTGGCAACACCATCTCTTTTTCACCTCCGACCACTCGATCTCCCAACCGCTGGTAACATCCAGGCAATCGAACGGTACGGAGCGTTCAGACTGGTCAGCAGGGCACCCGACTGGCGGGTGGCTCCTGCAGCACCAGGACTTTTTCGCCTCCGACCACCCGACCCTCCACCGAGCCTCGCCCGCCGTGCAGTCGAACGGATCTGTGGTCGAGTTGCGGCAGCCAAGCGGGGGATAGTGCTGGCAGCACCAGTCCTTCTTCGCCGCCGACCAGCCCACCTCCCAGGTGCTGTGCCCCGACATGCAATGAAACGGCGCAGTGTCCGCTGGCCTGAACGGACAGCCGAGGGGAGGGTGCGTCGCGCAGCACCAGTCCTTTTTGGAGTCGGACCATCCTGCCTTCCAGCTGTACACCCCCACGCTGCAGTCAAAGGGGCTCGGTGTCGTCGTGGCTGTGCTGGCCAGGCTTGTCGTGAGCTCTGTGACCGTCTGGGTGCTGCTGGCACTTATGGTGGAGGCCGCGGTACTCGTAAAGGTGGCCGTGCTCGTAAAGCTTGTTGTGCTCGTGAGGCTGCTGGTGGCCGATGATGAAGAATCCCACCAGCCCTCTGGGCGTAGGTGGCCTGACAACATTAGTTATTTCCCCTTCCAAAAACCTCGCTTCCCCTTCGGGGAGGGGTTGACCCCTCCCCCTACCCCCCCCCCCCCTGGACTGTTTTTTTTGTTGGGGGGGGGGGGTCGCGGGTGGCTGGAGGGCCCGTTTTCGCTCAAGATGGTTCCAAGAGGGCCTCCGATGCTCCAAGGTGGCCTCCAAGATGCCTCAAGATAGCCGAAGTTGGTCCAAGACAGCTTCCGACATGCCTCCAAGAGGCCCCAAGATGGCCACAAGACGGTCTCCAGTGCTCTCGGAGATCCTTCAGGACCCCTCCAAGCGCCCAAATCCTTCAAACACCTAAGGAAAATGGATGAGGTGTGCCGCCTTCTCGCCGTTTCGCTTCCGATGTGATTTTGGGGCCTCAAGATGGCCCCAAGATGGCCCAAGAAGGCCCCAAGAGGGGCCCACGATGCCCCTAAGACGGCCCCTAAGAGCGCCCCAAGAGGGCTCCAAGAGCGCCCCGAGAGGCGGTTTCCAGTGCCCCAGGGGGGGACCTAGATCGAAAGCCCCCCTCCTTTTATCGATAGCCTCGAAAATGGATCCAAGAGGCGTTCCAGGGCTCCCAAGGGAGCCCCAAGACAGCCCCTCTTGGGCCCCAAGAGGGTCCCAAGAGGGCCCCAAGACGGCCTCAGCGAGCCCAAGATGACCTCCAAGATGGCTTAGATACAGTATTCGGCCTGACCCAAGGAACGATAAATAAGGAACGAAGCCCTTTTTGTCCAAGTAAGTCTACGAAATCCTGAGGAACACCAAGGGGCTCGCCGCCAAAAAGGTAGCGGAACGCATGCAAACCCCAGGAAAATCCGAGCCCCTTTTAAAAAGTAAGTGTTCCTTCTGCAAGCCGGATCTTGTAGCCCAAGCTGGCTCAAGATGGCTCCCAAGATGCTCCAAACGGCCCAAAGACCGTTCCAAGAGCGCCCAAGAGCGCTCCAAGAGAGCTCCAAGAGGCGGTTTGCGGGCTCCTGAGGGGAGAGCTGAGTTGGGGACCTCCCCATCCTGTAATCGATGGCCTCCAAGATGATCCCAAGAAGCCTTCCAGGATTACCGAGAGGGTTCCAAGAGGGCCCCCCAAACTCCCAGAGAGCACCAGCAGCAGCAGCAGCAGCAGCAGCAGCAGCCGCAAGAGTACCTCTAGATGGTTCCATGAGTCCTCGTCCGCGTCGTCCTCATCCTAGTCCTCGTCCTCCTCGCCCTCCTCCTCCTCGTCCTCGTCCTCATCCGCGTCCTCGTCCTCCTCGTCCTCCTCGTCCTCCTCGTCCTCCTCCTCCTCCTCCTCCTCCTCCTCCTCCTGTTCCCCTCGCCCCCACGCGCCCCCCAGGGATGGCCCGAAGAGGCCTTCCAAGGCCAACCCCTTGCTCCCAAAGATCTCTCGGTTCACCGTCCCTTTTCCCGTCAGCTCTCATGGGCAGGGCTTCTGAATGGGCTGGGGGGATACGCGGAGCGTGAAGAAGATGTCTTGACGCGATCGGACGTCTTGACGCTGTCTACTGCCATGAAGCCTGATATGGCGAGGCTGTCATCTCGCCTGTCGGAGCACGAGGACTTGAGCCAGCACCTTCCTTGAGTGCCAGGCTCGTCGACCACACTGCGAGAGTCCACGGTCCACGCGGTGCAATTCGAATCGCCCGCGCAGTACCCGCAGCACTCCTCGACGTTGGCCACTGGCCAGCTGATGCCAATGTCCTGCCCCCAGCAATTCGTGAAGGTCGCCACCACAGCGGCGCAGCCCATCGACACGTTACTCTCCTGCCCTCGGTCTTCCGACTGCGACTCCCCAGCGTCGCCGAGACTGGCGGAGACGCTCGCCCTGTCGGAACCTGGCTCGGAATTCACAATGTCTGTGCTGCGCTCCCGGTCCTGCTCCTTCGTGGCGTCCAGGTCCTCTGGCTCCTCCTCCGTGAACGCCACTGGCGCCGCCTGGACCATCGCGAGCGGGTACCCGCCACTGGTCGCCTGCGCCGCACGCGCCGCGAGCAGCGAGCAGAATGCCACCGCCAGCGCCAAGCGGCGCCACGGCGCCGCCATAAGCACGGCGGGGCGGCGCCGGGTGGGGGGGCGCGTGCTGGAGCCAGGGAGCGCGAGCCATGCGTGGCCACCGCGAGCGCGTCCAAGCAGCGCAGCGCCAAAGGGGCCACGGATCTCGAACGACAGAGTCGGTCATACTGAGCACCCTCCGAGGGCGCCACAGTCAAGCTACTGCCATGGGTAACGCTAAAAACGAATCAGGAGCGACGCCCCTCTTTATCCCCCAAATCGTCTGAACGCACGAGGAGCGCCGGAAGAACAGCAATGGAACGACCTGAGGAGCAGCGTGCCCTACAGTGGAGGCCATTCCACAAGAAACCTTCCATAAGAAACCCAACCCTGAGATCTCAGGACGTCCATTGACTTTTGGTGTGGGAACGTCACGCCTTCCATCGCAAAACCATCGAGACCCAAGAAACCAAGGGCACCCTGGAGACAAGCAAGGTGTTCTTTGGCATGGGTCTCCACTGTACCTGACCCGGACTGCTCTTCCTTTCAGCATCTTGGCTGTACTGCACCAGCGGCACCAACGCACAATATTGCAACACCATGCTCGCGTGGGCTTAAGATGAGGAAGGGGAGGAGGAGGAGGAGGAGGAGGAGGAGGAGGAGGAGGAGGAGGAAAAGGAGGAGGAGAGGAGGAGGAGGAGGGGGAGGGGGAGGAAAAGGGGAGGGGGAGGGGGAGGAGGAGGGAGGAGGAGGAGGAGGAGGAGGAGGAGGAGGAGGAGAGGAGAAGGAGGAGGAGGAGGAGGAGGAGGAGGAGAAAGGAGGAGGAGGAGGAAGAGGAGGAGGAGGAGAAGGGGAGGAGAGAAGGGGAGGAGGAGGAGGAGGAGGAGGAGGAGGAGGAGAGGAGGAGGAGGAGGAGGAGGAGGAGAGAGTGGAGGAGGAGGAGGAGGCGGAGGAGGAGGAGGAGGAGGAGGAGGAAAAGGAGGAAAAGGAGGAGGAGGAGGAGGGATGAGGAGGAGAGGAAGGAAGGATTGACAAGTAAGTAAACAAGGGTGTCACTTGGCATGGGCCTCCACTGTACAGGCGCGCTGTCCGGGCGGACGGGCATCGGTCGCCCGCGCCGCACGCCGTGCTTGGAACGGCGCCCCGCGCGGGACGGAACTCGACCCAAAAACGGCGCGGCAGAGGCGAGGGACGCGAGGGCATCCGGGGAAAGGCACTCGTCATCATGATGCGTCGTCTGTAGCCCTGCGCTTGTGATATTAATCCCCTGGGGATAATCAAGTTCGGGGTCCAAACGGGATTTTTAAAGTTTTCCCGAACATTTCAGCATACTGATGAAGATGATGACGATGACGATGATCAAGATGATCCTGGACGCTCATACAAACACTTGAAAATCCATAGATATTCCTGTTCGGACAACCATACGACTCCTTTGGAAACCCAGCGGCATCTTGCGATTATCCATAGGATTCCGACGCAAATCCATGGGATTCCGTAGGGAATACTTAGGAACCCGTTGGCAATCCATTGAATTCATTCGGATATCCAAAGGGAGCCCAAGGACATCTACAGGGCCTCTCCGGAAATCCATAAACTTCTGCCGGACATCAGTCGAATTCCTTTCTGGAAATCCCTAGGACTTCTTCGGACACCGATAAGAATTCCATGGGAAGTCATAAGGTTCTTTGGGACATCCATCGGTTTCCTAAGGAAATCGAACCCTATCTGCAATCCATGGGATTCCTTCGGACATCCATCGGAGCCCCATGGACATTCATCGATGGGATCCAACAGAAATCTAGTGGATCCATTAGGACATCCAAATGGTCCCTGGAGAAATCCATGAGAATCGGGAGGAAGTCCTTCGGAGTCTTTAGGATGTCCATAAGATTTCGAAGGACATCTATGGGCTCCCTCTGGAAATCAATGGAACGCCTTAGGACATCCATCGCATACCTTGGGACATCCATACTATTCCGACCAACATATAAAAAACAACTGCCTTGGGAACCCTATATGATCCCGGAGGAAACTCATTGGATTCCAAGCAAATCGAAAGGAGCCCTATGAAACGTTCATACGGTTCCTTCGGCAATCAATGAGATTCCGCCGGAGATCCGAAGGATTCCTTAGGAAGCAATCTGTGTCCGAAGGAATCAATAGGAACCCCATTGGATATCCGCATAACTCCTGGATGCCCGTAAGAATCCGACGAACATATATTGCATTCGTATGGAAGTCCATCGAATTCCTTCGGAAACCCATAGGAATCTGACGGGGGCCCATCGGATCACTAAAGATACCCACAGGAATCCTATGGACATCAACTGGATTCCTTAGGACATCCATGAGATCCCCGAGGAAACCCATCGGCTTCCGAAGGCAATCCATCGAATTTCAGTGGACATCGATGGGGATCCTGGGGATGATGAAGATGTTGCTTAAACGATGTACACGATGAAGATGATGATTCCTCGCTCTCGCGGCTCTTGGTGCTCGGCGAGAGTTGGTTTCCAGAGCTTGCCTGGGAGCTCGAGGCCCTCGACGGCCCTCACCAAGAAACCTCTCTTGCGCGCGCGCTCAAACCGCTCGCCCGCGCAGGCTCGGCACCCTTTGGAGTCGTCCTTGCGCGGGTGGCACTTCGCGCGCGCTAGCGCTGCAACCTGCGCCTCCTCGAGGCTGCCGCGCGTGGGCTCTGGCGCTGTCGGGTCACTCGGCGGCTCGGCCTCGCCCTAGCACCTGGCCTTGGCCCTGGCCTCGGGCGCGGCGGCGCGGTTGTCGCTCGCGCCCTGCCGCTTCTGGACCCACTCGTCGCCTCGGGCGCGCGCCTGGGCGACGCCGATGGGCGGCTGGCGGCCCTCGCCCCCGATCTCGCGCAAGGCGCGCTCGACCCGCCTAATCACCTAAGGCCCGCAAGTCCGGCCATCCGCCTGGAACGTCGCGCTGCTGCTCGCAGGGCATTCCTCGGCAGGGCCGATGGCGCCGAGCTTGTAGGGGATCCTCGCGGCGACCTGCTCGGCGTTCTCGGGCGGCTGCTTGAGGGCGCCGCGGCGCTCGACGGCCGCGCCCGCTCCCTGCTCGGGCACTTCGAAGGAAGCGCAGTGCGCGGGGGCCTCGGACAGCACCGCGATCAGCAAGTGCTCGGCCTTCTCGGCTCTCTCGGCCCAACGCTTCCGCTCCTCGGGCTGCCGGGCGGCGGGCTCGTTCTCGCCCTGGCCCTCTCGAGCCCAGGCGACGGCCGCCGCGGGCCCGACCGCCGGAACGCTCTCGGGGGCGCCCGTGCGCTCCTCGATCTCGCCGAGCAGCGCCCGCGCCGTGCCCTGCTCGGGGGCGTCGCCCTCCTTGATCTGCTCGCAGTTCATGATCGCGCGTTGCATGGCGAGCTCGGTGCGCCGAGGTGCCCTGCTAGAGGCCTCATGGATGGGACCCGAGTAGACGCGGTCGGAAGACGACGCGGCATTGCCGACGCATCGGCGACGCATCGGCCATGCATCGGCGACGTCGGCGACGCATCGGCGACATCAGCGTGGAAACAAACGGGCCCCGCACCGAGCCGCGTCGGCGATGCGTCGGCGACGCCGCGCGATCCTCTGCCCCCGTCCATTCGGATCCCATCTGGGAAGCCTCGACCTGCATGCGCGACTGTCCATTTTGACAAGCTCCAAGTAGTTGCAGTCCTCCTCGACCGTGACCTGCGAGGCGCGAGGATTCCTTGGGGGATCCTGTGGATTCTTCGGAAATCCATATGGTTCCTGGTGATTGCCATGGGACCCCTTCGACACTTCGCAAGGTTATTTAAAAGATCCCTTGGAATCCCTAAGGGGGCCCGTCGGGCCCCCGGGCGAAAAAATAGTCCGGAATCCTGCGGAAATCCATCGGAATCCTTCGGAAATCTATCGGGATCCTTCGAGCCCTAAGGATTTCTGATGGAACCCGTCGGCCCCCTTCGGAGATCCCATGCGATTCTTTGGGACGCGCGTGGGTTTCCTTAGGGCGTGCACAGGGTTCCTGAGGACATCCGTCGGATTTGTTCGTCGGATATCCACGCGATGCCTTTGGGGAACCAAGTGTTCCGCCGGGCGCCCGTGGGATTCCTGCAAGGATCTGAGGATTCCTTCGGAAACCCAGAGGGCTCCGCAGAAAATCTGCAAGATTCTCCCGGACATCCTTAGGGGGGGAGGAGGAGGAGGAGGAGGAGGGGGAGCGGGGGGCAGGGGGGGGGGGGGGGGGGGGATGCGGAGGACGAGGGCCCCCAGGGCCAGTTCACCAAGAACTTCGCCTCGGGGCCTCCGTTTTTTTTTTTTGGCGAGCGCAATTTTTCATCATTTCCCATGGCGCATAGGCGCCCGCGGCGACTCAGTTGCAGCGGCAAAAAAACTAGAGCAAAAACAAAAAAACACGCGGGGCGCAAAACAAATCAGGGCGGGGGCGCAGGGGGGGGGCGAGGCGAGCCCTTCGGAAACTCATAAGCTGTTCTAAGAAATCCATCGGATTTCCTCCGATGTCTATCGGATTCCTAAAGACATCGACGCACTTCCGGTCGAGGCCCATTTCCTCAAGCAACCAACAGGATTCCAAATCAAACCCGTGGTATTCCTTTGGGAATCCAAAGGAATCCTTAGAACATCTATAGGAATCCCGAAAGCGCCCATCGGAATCCATAGGAAACCAATGCGAATCCACTGTGATACATAGGACTCCTTGGGACACACACACACACATCTGTATGTATATATATATATATATGCATGGGTATATATATATATATACATACACGTGTATATATATAAAGAGATTTAGACCGCAGACTCCCAAGATCGCCAGTACACTGTTTTATCGTGTCTGGAGCCAAGGCGATAACCTTCGATCGGTAGGGCGAAGGCGTAGGCCACCAGACGCGTTCGGAGATTCCCGAAGTAGACGCTCGTGAATGCATATTCACAGAAGACACGACAGCATACAAGTGGCTGTCGAGCGAGGGAATCCTCACGGAAAGACAGAAAAGCGAAAGAGGGCAGAGAAAGGGAGGGAGGGAGACTTGAGCAAGT